CACGCCCGGCTAATTTTTTGTATTTTTAGTAGAGACGGGGTTTCACCGTGTTAGCCAGGATGGTCTCGATCTCCTGACCTCATGATCCGCCCGCCTCAGCCTCCCAAAGTGCTGGGATTACAGGCGTGAGCCACCGCGCCTGACCAGCACAGCTTCACATTTTACACTTAAAAAAGATTTCATAGAGTATTTTAGTTAGGTGTTGGGGCAACAGGGTGGACGTGGTTGGAGAGGCTTTCCCACATCAGCTCAGCTCACCCTCTTCACCAGCGATCAATAGTTTTACTTTGTATTAGAAAAAAACCCCAGTGTTAACAACTCTTTTAGAATTTGTTTAGGAGGTTTTCTGGTTTTCACTGGAACTTCTCCCCACCAGTCCTGTCCCCACCCCCCAAGAATACAGAACCGCACATCACAAACACCCCCAAGCCCTGGCCCAGGTCTTTTGGATAAAGGGGCCACTGCCCAGTGTGCACAGGCCCAGAAAGAAGAAAAGACAAGAAAGGCAAGGTGCTGACTGCCTTGGGGGTTGTTTGGTATAAACAGGTAGCCATTCAGAGAGGCTTCAAATCGTTTCAGGAGTGCCAGGGCATCTCACAAAACCCAAAGTCACTCAGCCCTGCCAGTCCCCAAGCTCTAATTGCCTTGGTGGCTGATCCTGTGTGTAGCCCTCGCCTTGTGTGAACTGTATGTATGTGTAGGTGGAGGTGGTGCCATGGCTAGCATCTTAATTCACATGCTTTGTACCAAAAAGGGCAGGCTGGCACTGCAGACAGACTGGCGAAGTCAGGGCACAAGCCCCAGCCTTTTGGGGGGCCCCCTCTTTCCTGCTCTGTGATCTGGGCAACACTCCTGATCCCAGCCTCACTCTGCAGATCTTAGATGACCCAGGCAAGGTACTTTAAAAGGTTAGGGGCACACAGGATCAAGTCACCTTTCCTGCTGTTTTTTGTCCCCCCACTTTTCTGGACCTGATACGGACATTAGATAGTAATCCCCAGTGAGGGGGGACAGATGCTGAGAGGACAGGTCCTTGAAGCCTGAGCAATTATTAGGTTAGTGCAAAAGGAATTGCGGTTTTGCAATTAAAAGTAATGTCAAAAACCACGATTACTTTTACATCAACCTACTTATAACAAATGGTAGTAAGGATTTGTTTAGCAGAACCTGGAGTGCCTAAGCCAGGGGTCCTGGCTGTGCCCACATTAGCAAGGCAGGAAGACGTGGTGAAGTGACCATCCCTGAGCAAGGACCTGATAAGGGCCTGGCCCATGCACTCCTTCAGCGTGCTCAGAAATGTGGCCAACTTCTAAATTTCCCTTGAGGTCAGTGGTGATCTTTTTTTTTTTTTTCTTTTTTTTTAAGACGGAGTCTCGCTCTGTAGCCCAGGCTGGAGTGCAGTGCCGCCATCTTGGCTCACTGCAAGTTCCCCCTTCCGGGTTTACGCCATTCTTCTGCCTCAGCCTCCCGAGTAGCTGGGACTACAGGCGCCCGCCACCACGCCCAACTGATTTTTTGTGTTTTTTAGTAGAGACGGAATTTCACCGTGTTAGCCACGATAGTGTCGATCTCCTGACCTCGTGATCTGCCTGCCTCGGCCTCCCAAAGTGCTGGGATTACAGGCGTGAGCCACCGCGCTCCGCCACACAACTGACTTTCAAAGCACGAGAGACATGGAGTGGGTGACTAGGCACTGACCAAGGAGGCCCCCACGGTCAGGGAAGACCCCTGCAACTTGTGTGTCCCACGGTGACTTCTTCTTCCAGAACGATTCAAAACACATGATAAGTGAAACTGTGACCAGTGCTGCAGTGGCACAGCTGGTTGGGCACTTCCTATGGACACTTGGCTGAGCGGTTTGCACATGCATTCTCATTCATTCCTGGACCCAGCCCTGACAGATGTCACCTCAGAAGGCCTCTTTCAGATGCATTCAGGCTCAACAGTCAGTTGGTTAATCAAAAGAAATGATTACAAAGCAAGGAACTGAAGAAATGGTTTCCTTTAAATCGTTCATTTTAACCCAAAACACATATGATAGGGCATTCACCAATCCTCATGTGGGACCCAGGCTTTTTGTTGAATATGAGATCACTGATTGGTGTTTCCTCTCATATATATATATTATTTTATTTATTTATTTATTTATTTTTTGCTTAAACCATACTCATAACATCATCTGATTTGCAGCTTTGGTTTCTTTAAAGTAGAGCAAGAACTCAAAGACATTAATGAAATAGTCTGCATGCAAAACCCTTCTAGAATCTTTTTATTTTTTAAGAGATAAGATCTAGCTCTGTCATCCATGCTGGATTTTAGTGGCACGATCCTAGTTCACTGCAGCCTCAAACTCCTAGGCTCAAATGATCCTCCTACCTTAGCCTGCTGAGTAGCTGGGAACACAGGCACACACCACCA